TGGGTGGGCTGGGGGGCATGGGAAAAGCGGAGGTCAGGGAGCCGCGGGGAGGGGAGGAGGAGGCAGGACTAGATCCTACAGGGCCTGCTTGTTATGGGTTTCCATTACAGAGCTGGGAGCAGAGGACTGACATGATCCGAAGTGTCTTAAAAGATTCACTAGCGCTGCTGGGTGGAAGGTAGACTGTGGAGAGTCAACAAGGGAGACGGGGTCGGATGTGCAATTAGGAAGCTCTTGCTGTAATCCAGGCAGAAGATGATGATGGTTTAGAAAAGGGTGTCAGTGTGGAGGTGTTGAGAGGTGATGGCTTGCTGGGTAGGTTTTGAAGGACCAGTCAACAACATTGCTGATGTACAGAGAGGGGAGAAGTAAAGAGTGTTGCCAGAGTTTTGGGGGGGCCTCTCACTGTCGTGGCCTCTCCCGTTGCTTAGCACAGGCTCCGGATGCACAGGCTCAGCGGCCATGGCTCACGGGCCCAGCCGCTCCGCGGCATGTGGGATCCTCCCGGACCGGGGCACGAACCCGTGTCCCCTGCATCGGCAGGCGGACTCTCAACCACTGCGCCACCAGGGAAGCCCTTTGCAGAGTTTTTTGCCTGGGCAGCAGGAAGAATGGAGATGCTGTTACTGAGAAGGGGAAGAGAAGCGGGAAGGGCTGGTGAATCGTGTGAAGCCTGTTGTGAGATAATAAATCAATGAAATAAATGAGATGATGTGAATAAAACTAGTGTGTTCCTTGCCCACAATAAGCATTCAGCCAGTCTTAGGGCCCTTACCTATCCTTTATTCTTTGTTACTTCTTTTTGTTCTCAGAACGCCTTTGTGCACTACCCACACGCCCCTCCCTTTTTATTCACTGCTTCTCTGCAGATCAATATATAGTCAAAACGTTTCCACAGCAGCCGGAGGTCGGCTAAACCTCACCCAGAAAAACTTGCAACAGACTGCTGAATCAGCAGAGGTACCTAAATTGCATTTTTAAAGAAAGAAAGCTGCTCGATGACAAAACAACATGCGTGGCAATCCTTCTAGTTCCTCAAAGTCCTTGAAGTATTTCAGTACCCCCAAAGTTTCCCTGGTACTGGTTGTTTTTTAATAGAAATTCTGTGAAGAGTGACGTATAGTATTTCATAAGCAGTGTTTTCTTTGAATTTCTGAAGAGAGGCTAGAAAACTGAAAAGTTACCCAAAGCAACTATATAAATGCTTACTGCATATATTATTTCTTGGCACAATTTCCTAGTTGTTTTTATTCTTTTGCCTAAAAGTTTGAGGCATAATATTGAAAGGAAATAAGTGATGTAAATGTATTAGACAAATATGTCTTAGCAATATTTTATCCAAAGCCAACGCCCAAAATAACCAACATATAAATAGAAGCATACAGTGTACATATAAAAAACATGCTTGGTTCTTTAAAATTCTTTACTGCAGAATTTTTATTTCATTTGAAATGTCAGTATTCAGTTCACATATCTCTATACTCTTAAGAATCATCAGCATTTAATTTATGAGTGTTTTTAGTTGGAAAGAGTCTGCTGTTTAAAATTCAATTCAATCCCCTTGCTTTGCGTTGAAGACTACTTACATCTTGTGTTTTTCCCAAAGCCCTCCTCTATGCCCAATTTCCCATAGCTAATCAAATTTTTAATCCAAGGTAGAATGCAGCCCCTACCACTTCCCCACCCCAGCTCAGGGGCAATAACACAGAGAGTAACAGAGCCCAGGGACAAATAACATATCTGTCCCATGGTTGTTCCTCCTCTGTCCCCAGGTAGCATCTAGTGTATGTGTGGCTTCATGTAGCATTTAAAACTGGGTATAATGATGGCTTAAGAAATAAATCCTGCAACCAGCCAAGAAGCAGCTGGGGGCCCACTGTGGATAAGAAGCACACAAGAACAGACCAGCTTACCTTCAAGGAGCGTGTGCCTTGGATGTGTTCACGAGATTATCCAGCAGCAGAAAGACAAAGCCTCCAGCTTTGCCAAGGAGGTGTAGAGGCAAACAAGGATCTCTTTCTGGGCTTGGCAAGTAGGAGTATTGGCAGAGGCAACTGAACCCTTGTAGATGTCTTAGGTTTATGACTCGTGGTTTTCAATACCAAGTTATGGTATGATAGGAAATTCTCAGGCTCCTGAAGGTACACAGTGGAAAGCAAATGTCTAAGCAAATATGCCAGCATTTAGTATCAAATGCAGCCGAGTAGTTGGCACTAGCTGTGAGGGGCCTGGAATTGACTATACAGTCTTTTGTTCATGGGTTTCCAAGTATAACTTTCCTAACACATGACCAGAGAATCATTTATCCCCAGGAAGAATCTACTTCTTAACGCTTTTCTTTAACTTTAATCCTGTTAAGTTCCATGTTTAAAGTAAGCAGCCAGGTTTACCAAAGGTTTCATCACCATAATTATTAGCAATTTTAACTCTACTGATGCCAAGTCTGTTTTCCAGCTGGGATAGCCCTACCCCTTTGACTTAGATGGGAAAGAAAATTGATTTTGACTGGTATGTTTTTAAATTTCAGGGATAGTTGCTGTTCTCTTCTGTGGAGTCACACAGGCACATTATACCTACAACAATCTGTCGTTGGATTCCAAAATGAGGACTAAACAGGTAAAAGAAAAAACTCACTACAGGCCTTGTCTCTTTTCTCAGTGTAATGGTTATGTAGCAATTCTGGCCGGGCACTTGGAAAGAATTTCATTAGTAAAGGAAGGCAGTAAGCTGAAGGCTTCGTTATAGGTTGGATATTTATAGATTTTTTTTTCTTCTTCAGGGTAACTATTAACAATTCTCTTGGTAAGCAAAAATATAGTTATAATAGTCTCTCCCTCCTGAGAATTGTGGAACGTAGACTGTCAGTCTTGAAGATGAAAGACCCACCGTCAGTAATAATTCACAGTCACTTACATCTCAAAGCATTATAAAGCATGTGAGATTGGGTAGTTTTATAGAAAGAAGGAAATGAAGAAGAATAAGGCAGTAACGTTTGGTCTTTAATTGGGTGCTTTTGCTTCCAAGTAAACTCAACTGCCAGTTGTCACATAAGCAGAATGTCTCTCCCATATGCCAGGAACACATCTGTTTTGATATCGGCACATAATCACTCACAGATTCCTTCCACAAACATTTGCTGCATCACCACTCTGTGCCAAGCACTGTGCTTGGTACAAGGAATAAAAAGGGCAGATGATATATGAACCTGCCTTTAAGTGGTTCATTATCAAGTCTGTTGAGGAGGATAAAGATGTGCAGTGAGCAATTAATTATCCACAGTGTGATAAGTACTGAGATATAAATGTCTATATAGGTTGTTTGGGGAGAATTCAGTAGGGCCTTCTCCCATGGTTAGGCCTGGGAAGGTGAAGAGAGAGTTTCCAGAGATGATAGCCCAATCTGGAGCTTGAAATACAAATAGAAGTTAATTAGGTAAAGATGTGGGATCCAGTGGGGGATGAGAAGGTAGCAGGAAGGGCATTCGAGGCCAAGGTTGTAGCGCGGACAAAAGCTCTGTAGCAGTTTACTGGAGCGCTTTAAATAGTTCTGTGTGGCTAGTGAATGGGGTAAGGCTGAAGTTAGTGGAATATAGTATGCGACGAGACTGCACACACAGCCAGAGACCAGCTTATTGAAGGACTTTCATACCTCGTGAATAAGTTTCGACTTTAACCTAAAGGTAATGGGGAGTGGCTCTAAGAACAGAAATTTATTGTCTTACACTTCTAGACGGTCGAAGTCTGAGATCAAGGTATAGGTAGGAGTAGTTCCTTCTGAGGGTTCTGAGGGAGAATCTGTTCTGTTCCTTGTTTTTACCTTCTGGTGGTTTCCTGACAATCTTTGGTGTTCTTTGGTGTTCTTTGGTGTCCTAATCTCTGCCTTCATGTTCACATGGCATTCTCCTTGTGAGCATGTCTGTCTCTAAATTTACCCTTTTAATAAGGATACCAGCCATAATAGAATAGGGACCCACCCTACTCCGGTATGACCTTATCTCAGCTTAACTCATTACATTTTCAAGGACCCTATTTCCAAATAAGGTCAGATCCTGAGGTACTGGGGGTTAGGAATTCAACATGTGAATTTCGGACGACATCACTCGGCCCATAACAGGAAGTCACTGAAGTGTCTTCGGTAGAGTAATTTTCGGATAATTGAAGTTCCATTTTAGAAATATCAACTGACAGACAAGAAGAGCATGCATCAAATGGCACTTGTATCAACTATCTTGTGCTGTATAACAAGCAACCCCAGTGGCATTTAACAATAAACACTTATTTATCGTGCATCTGCAGGGCTCAGCTCTTTTGATCTGGGTTGATCTGGGTGGCTCTACTTGTCTCAACTAGGATGATTCACTGTCTGTGGGTTTGGTGGGGCTCTATGCTAGAGTGGGCTTCTCTGGAGCACCTTAACCAGTGCCCCGTGTCCGTCGTTCTTCTCCTGGCGGAAGAACAAACCCCCGTGTGCCAGTTCATTTCAAGCTTCTGCTTGCATCACATTTCCTAAACATCCTATAGGTAAAGAAAATCCCATGGCTGAGCCCAGGGTCAAGGGGCTGAGCAGGTCACTAGCTCACAGTGGGAGAGCACTGTAAAGTTACATGACAAGGAACATGGATATAGAAAATTATGAAGAATAGAACCAAATTATTGCAATCTATCCCAAAATGCAAATGGAGGTAGATCAGCTCCTATAATAAGCCCAATGATGCTGAGAACATCTGATATTGGGGCAGTGGGAGTGGAAAAAAACCCCAAAAGACATCTAAGCTAACCTGTGATTGGCTAGGCATTCCTAAACAGCTTTCGAAGACTTACCTTAAAGCTCTGTAAAATGGCTATTGTTTTCAACCTTCTCTCTTTGTCATGTCCCAAGCTCAGCTGGACCTGAGCCCATCTCCCACCTACCCAGCAGGGACTCTGCAAGGTCACCCTTATCTCTGTCCTCTCACCGTCAGAGGACACAGAAGATGCAATTACAGACATTTTAAGGAGCCCCAATTTTAAAAAACGAACCAAACAACTGATACCAGTACCTAGAAACTTCCGATACATAGTCTCCTAGGATCCTTTTAATTATGGAGACTACTAGCATTCTCTAGAACTTAAAGGGAAATATCTTGGGCTGGTTTTTCCTGACCTCATATGGTTCTCTGAGCATTTGTATTCTGAAAGGCTGAACTCTGTTTAGAGACTTGCACTTTTAAGTCACGCTATCTAGACTACTCAGCAGAACTTCAAAGATAACTCGTCTCATGGCGAGACAGCAGCCCAGCACCTAGGGGAGACAAAGCCAAAATCAGTGCCCCACAGCCTTCTGTTCTCCTCTGAATGGCTTGACAAGCACTCCCTGATGGGCTGCCAGCATCCATTTTTACAGCAGTCCCCTTTAGGGAAGGAGATTTTTACAAGTTCATTCTTTAACATCCAGATAATTGCATCCCTCCATCTTTGCTCTCCCCGTCACCTTCTTTCCTGGGTGTCTGGTTCATAGTAGGAGCTTAATGAATGCTAATTCCCTTCCCTTCCCTTCTCATACCTTTCTCACTTTTTTTCTTTCAGGATCTCTCATTTTCTATTTATTTTTTCTCACGATATATGCATACATAGCAACTGTGCATATTTGTACATGAATATATATGCATACATCTACACATATATTCCCCACTCTAGCATATAGAGTCCGAGGTCACCATTTAAAAAAAAAACAATGAGATCAAGTACTTTAATGAACTTCACAGATCAAAAGTCCTTGGCCACATCTGCACCAATCTAGCAAGCAAAGTTTAAACTCCATGTGGGAAACCAATTATAAATTGTAAAGAAAACATGAGGCAGGTATTATAGAGATTGCCACTGTTTCCTTTTGAAACGGACAAAGGTTTAGAAAGTATTATATGACAACACATGGTTATAGAATACATTACCTTCCTCTGCATCTCCCTGAGTTGTGTTCATTGTCAGTGGGAGAAATCGCCTCTTTGCCTCTGTCCCCAGGACTGTTTAATGGGAGTGAAGGAAGTCAGTTAGTGAAGTGTAGGAAAAAAATCAATGAAAATCAACTTTGTGTTATAAAATCCTTAGTTATGGGCTTCCCTGGTGGCGCAGTGGTTGAGAATCGGCCTGCCAATGCAGGGGACACAGGTTCGAGCCCTGGTCTGGGAAGATCCCACATGCCGCGGAGCAGCTAAGCCAGTGCGCCACAACTACTGAGCAATGAGAAGCCCGCGCACAGCAACAAAGAGTAGCCCCCTCTCACCGCAACTAGAGAAAGCCTGTGTGCAGCGAGGAAGGCCCAACTCAACCAAACATAAATAAATAAATAAATGTATATATTTTTAAAAAATCATTAGGTAATATGATTTACAAAAGAATTTTATTCCTGGACTGTGCCTAGATCAGCTAATGAAACGGCTATATCTGGATACAAAGACTTTTGAGAATTAATATATTCTTTGTAGCTTCAAGAATTAGAGTGCCTTTTTTAAACTGCAGATTTACATTAAAATATGTTTTGTAACTGATAATGACCATCTAGATGCCGGTGAACTGATTTTCACTCCAAGCCATGAAGAAACATGTAGCATCACTGTGTGTTAGGCACAAAGCAGCATAAATAGAGACATTCTTGTGCTGTTACCCACCATGAGGATTTCTATTTTCATAGCAAAGCACTCTAGTAAAGAGTATATGAACATACGTGGCAACCCTTTCCCTGGACTCAAAGCCGTTTGCTTACTTTAGGGTGTGCACATCTAGCCCTAGAGACAGACAAATACTGCAAGCCCTGACTCTTGACCTAGAAACTGAGAACCGTTAGAGATACTCGAGATGGACATCAGCACACGGCAGTCTGTGAGCCTAGAGGTCTCACCCTGAAGCGTCCAGAAGACCGCATACCGACCTCCTGACCCCACTCACACAAGTCCCGGCCTGCCTCCCAACCCCTTCCTCCCTCATGCCCTCACCCGCTAGGGAGGCCTGGGAGCTGATAATCTGGGCTAGATTCCAGGGTGTTTCCATCAGCTGTCTCTTCCTGGCCTGAGGCTGACTTGCAAAACCATGTACTTCTCTACCATCCTTTTTTTTCTTTTTTTTTTTAAAGATTAAAGGGTATCCTTTAATTTTTCCTCCGAAGTTTTGGGTATTTTTTTTTTAATTTATTTTATTCAAGTATATTTGATTTACAATGTTGTGTTAATTTCTGCTGTACAGCACAGTGATTCAGTAATACATATATATACATTCTTTTTCATATTCTTTTCCATTATGGTTTATCATAGATCCACCATCCCTTTTAATTAGAATTTCTCCTTCCCTTCCTGCAGTTTCCACCTAAAAATTACGTCTACAGATACACATGGGTGTACAATGTTAATTTAAATAATTAACATCTATGATGCATTAACATGTACAAAGTACTTATTTAATTTTTACTTACTTCTCTACCTAAGTGGTAGCTCTTCTTATTATCACTGATTACCTTCATTCATTCATCTAACATTTTGTGAGAGCCGATTTTGTGCCAGCCGCTCTTCAAGGTGCTGGGATACAAGAGTGAATCAAAAAGAATTGCTAGTAGAGGAGTTTGGAGTAATCAAAATAAATAAGCAA